GAAATTAGGCAGAAGTCCGTATACGGAAATTACCTGTTTAAATAACTTTCATTTGAACGCCCATTGACGAAGCATAAATATAGATTGCGAAGAATCTGATAACAGTATTTAAATAACCTTGATAAAAAAAATAAATATGCATATATGAAGAACATTAAATAAAAATTTCGCATTTAATTCGTTTTTCTATTAATGTTTGAACATGCAAACAATTGCTGATGCGTAAATTTACCGACAAAGTTTTTTATTGTATAATAATTTATTTTTCACCAGTTTTCAAAAGTTAAATATATGTATTACTATCAATTACATTAATATCTTAACACTTCATTATATGTTCGACGTTTGGAAAGAATTCCCATCATTTACAATATGCATCGCATATACACACTATATTCGTATTGCATAACAATTCGACAGGCATCGAAATAAACAAATTACTAAGGTCGATTTGTTATTCATTGATCACATAAAATAACACGTGCCATCCGGATTAACTGGACACGTTTCCGGTAGATTCCAGGAAGCAAAAACTACGGTAATGACCTTAACAATCACATTGCGCATTTTTGTTACCAATACAGAGAAAAAATCAAATTATATAATTTGGTGATGACTGAAATACAAATTGGCATCAGTCATCTATTCTTAATTTTGTTTTTATTGAATAGCTGAATTCATCATTTTAAATCAATATTCAGAAACGCATAATCTTAAATTTTGCTTTTGCTTTGATTCAATACAAAAAGATTAGAAATTACAGATTAAGCATGGGGATTAAGTTCTTATCAGACAAGTGTGTTATGTGGATTATCCAACATATAAAAAATGTGTATTAACGTGTAATTTTGTATTTAAGATAACATATGTTAAAAAATGTAATATGAAATTTTTTTTAATTATCGAGATTTAAGGTAAAGTTCCAACCTATATCCATTTACCATCAAATATAACAATTAATGATCAAAACTAAATAATTTAAAAAATTTCCAATTATAAAAATACGGTAAGCATACTGATGAGCCAGATTCGCATAAAAAAAGTACTCGGGTCGAGTCCCGGTACTGCGTACAAAAATTGAATATAAAAATTACTACTAAAAAAATTGAGTGGTGATAATGAATATAATGACAAGTCCTTATATATTTAGAAAAACCTTATAAAGTACGAATTTGTTTAGAATTGGAATGATGTTTGTATCGACCATTAAAATTATTACTAGAAAAATAGTAAATAGTAGTAGTAGTAGTAGTAAAAAATATTTGTAAAAAATCAGTATGTTACGATATAAAAAATGCGAATAAAATAAAAAAAAAAACTAGTGGTGTATGGCATCACGCATTAAGGCAAATTGCTGGAGCTTCCCATACCGTAACGAAATGTTCGAGGAATATTGAATATTTTCAGATAGATTATTATAAATATTGTAACATTGTCTAATATTTATAAGAATTGCATAAACTGAATTGCAAAGTTTAAAATATTTGTTTAAAGTATATTAGAACTTTAGTCAGAATTAAAATTAAAATTTGAATTATTTTCGAAAAAAAAGAAATCTGAAAAAAAATTTGAAACAATTTTTTTTCTCCAAAATCAATTATTTTGTTTAAACAAGCAGAAAGTTTTCTGAATCATTCAAATCGGACGCTTAGTTCCCTCAAAAACTGCCATTTTTTGCACATTTAGCTCTGTATCTGTAAAATGGCTGGGCCTGCTTTTGCCAAAAACCAATAACCACTTCTCCCAATCATTACTAATTGAATGTTTTTTAGATCATTCAAATCGGATGCTCCGTTCTCTCAAAAACTCGATTTCTATTTTCTGCACTCTTTGCTCCGTATCTCCGTAACGGCTGGACCTGCCTTTGCCAAAAACTAATCAGCACATCTCCTTATCAATAGGAATCAAATGTTTTTTGAACCATTCAAATCGGTTGATCCGTACGCCCGAAAACTGCTGGACCTGCCTTTGCCAAAAACTAATCAGCACATCTCCCTATCAATAGGAATCGAATGTTTTTTGAACCTATCAAATCGGTTGATCCATTTGATCGGTTAACCATTTTTTCTGAGGTATGCCAAAATGTTCAGAAACCTTCAAAACGTCGAGAAATGCAAAAATTTTCAATTTCGATTTTTGGACGATTACAATAAGTTGCTCTACGGGAAGTTAAAAAAGTTATAACTAGCTAGATGCTATAAGTAAGCAAATTTCATAAAATAACTCCTCTATATTTTCCTATATCAAACAAAAAGTCTATTTATAAAACTTAACGAGTCGGTAAGACATGGAATATTACTCCAATAAAATTCATTTGAAGATATAAATAGAGTCAATAATTTGTTTTAATCTATTTAAGGCGACATAGCACGAATGACTAGTTATCCATATTAATATTACAGCAATTATGCCTTATATTAAATAATAATATTGACATTACGTGAACAAATACACCGTGCAGGAGGTCTCCTCTTCAAGGTTAATTTCGCGTCATCGATACTGCAATAAAAAGTTTGATAAGAATTGATTTTTTTGTGAAGGTGAATGTGGTAAATTATCAGATCTTGATTAAAAAATAAAATGTTTTATAAAATAAATAAACTTGTCATTTATTTACACATGGTGCAACATAATCTGAACATTAAATCAGTTTTTTGTTATTTAGTTCAAAGAGCGGCACTCGCATATGTTAGAGATTGACCAATGATAAAAGATAATTGGAAACATTTCTGTTTATTTAATAACCAATATTTTTTAAAATCACTTTAATGTCACAATCGCACTTTTTAGTGATTATTAAATTAAACATTTTCAACTGATAACACAGGTCAACAAAGAAAATTTGCAAACGATTTTAATGCTGTTTTTAAGTATATTTGGGGCGCTGATTTTGAAAATGGCATTGGATATTTTCTATGAGCATTAGTTTTCAAGATATTATATATAAGGAATGAAAGTACAAAATAGTAATACAATTCAGAATTTTATTTTAACGAGATATGCCTACTCGTACATACAAACTTACAAGACCCATTCGGCCTTAGTTGGGACATTAATTGACACTGTGAAAAGTTCTTTTCCGTGATGACCTAGAATGGACCTGGTTTCTGCAACTTCTTTGCAAGTTCCAGACTAGAGCTGATACAAAAAAATGGTTTGCAGATTTGAAATCAGTGCAAAAAATACTATAAACATCAGCTCTAACATTTGATGCACCAAACAAAAAAAATTTTTTTGTAGGCCTGTGTAATAAATCAGATATAAAACTAATTCAAAGTATTTCCGCGTATCAATCATGCTTCTAATGTTATCTCCAATGTTAATTAACTAACGCAGAATTACGTGCAATTAAAAAAAATCATTATCACCGACTTAAGATTATAACTATCATCAATGTACCATTTGCATAATTACAAATTGATTAAATATCTTGTAGGTCACCGAATCGAAGGTCCAATACTCAGAGACGTGTCAAGAACTAAGGAGTATTCTAGTACAAAAATAATAATCAAATATGCAAGATGCGTGCTTGTTCCAACTGCGGAGCAATTAATGATGTGTTATTGAAAACATCTTCTTTATTTTATTATTTATGAGATAATGGTTAGCTTTGGAATAAGTACAATGTAAATTGTAACAAATGAAAAAAGGTCCTATAAATAAACGTAATTTATTTGCATTTAAATTAAGATAATAGTATCAGCTAGAGCTTTGTGGAAGCTTGGCAAAAAGTAAAAAGAAAGAAGAGTCGATTAACCACAGCTAGTAACATAATATAATAGTATAATTCACCATGAAT